CCTTACACCAACTTGGATCGATCTTTCCGAAGAGAAACGACACATCTGGAGAACCCGCTTTCTTAACTAAATAATTTTTACAGAGTGAAATTGGGCGTTCAACTCTAGTAGTCACCATTTAAATATGTAGTGCTTGTGTGTGTATATATATACATATATATATATATATATATATGTGTGTGTGTGTGTGTGTGTGTGTGTGTGTGTGTGTGTGTGTGATGTGTGTGTGTGTGTGTGTGTGTGTGTGTGCGCGCGTTTTGTGGGGTTTTTTAAGTTTTTTTTTGTTTTGCTTTTTGTGTTGTTGTTGGTGTTGCTTTTGTTGGAGTTGTTTTTTTTCCCAATCTTCAGTAAATGTCCAACCTTTAGTAGAGTGCAGTTGTTCTTGGAAAACGTACGAGCAGAGAAATAAGTGATAAATGTGGCGTCGGTGGCCCAGTGGTTAGGCTCTCAGACTGGCAACCGTTAGGTCTGGGGTTCGAATCCCGTCAGGGGCCCGCCGTTGTGACCTTGGGAAAGGTACTTTACAAGAATTTTCCTCACTTCACCCAGGTGGGAATGGGTATCCTGCTATAGACAGTGAAAGATCTTGTCAGTTTTTTAGCGTTTGTGCGCTTAATCAGCTGCTTGCACTGTATGCTTCCCGGGAAGCTGAGAATGTTTCTGGGTGTTCTATGGTCTGTTGAGGTAATAATATAGTGTAAAGCGTATAGATCTTGCTGTCGAGCGGGGATATGTGCTATACAAATGCTATGTATTATGATTATATTTATCTAATATTATCAAGCCATGACCCCTGATGTCTGCTTCATATTTGGCACTTGAAGAGAAGAAAGTAATTGGTTATATCCCCAAATGAGCGTTGTAATTGTCTATCATTAGATTGTATGCTACCTCTTTTGTACTGGGGAATTAGTGTTGTTAATGTCCATTTTTAAGTTGTACTATTTACGTGTTTATATCGGCGAATAAGAGTTGTAATTTTTGTCCATATTTAAGTTGTCCAATTCACTTCTTCCTATTTGTCAGTAAGTTTTGTAAATGTCCATGTTTAAGTTGTACTTGGTGCTCATATGACTTTATGCTGTTGCGAGCGCCGTAAAACTTCTACTAAAACAAAACAAAAAAAAACGTAAGTTGTACAATGAAATGTACTTGTTCATTTTTGTGAAAAAGGCAATCTTTTCATTTCTCGCCAGGTGTCTATGCGTCAGGCACAGATGGGCAAACAGAGCGGCCTTGACCTATATACCAAGTGGTTGACCCCCCTTCCCTGTGGGGTCATGACCTCCAGAATTGAGGAAGTGACCCGTGACCTTTACAACGTGGCGGCAGTTGTCCCCCGTGGGGGGTCTGACGTCAGATGTAACGGAACCTGGTTCTATGTGAGTGAGTGTGTGTGTGTGTGTGTGTGTGTGTGTGTGTGTGTG